TTTGCTTGGTTAGTCGTGTGATACATATCAAAGTAGCCCACCCCATGGAAACAGATTTATTCTTACAGACATTACGGCGCTTCACCTGTCGGAGAGGACCAATAAAAGAGCTTCGCAGTGACCAAGGAACTAATTTTGTTGGAGCCGAAATCAAGTTAATGGCAGCGCTTCAAGAAATGGATGATGACAAAATTAAGGCAGAGTTGCTTAAGGAGAGCATTGATTGGATCAGAAACCCTGTTACAGCAAGTAATTTCGTTTGGGAACGACAGATTCGGTCCGTGCGGAACATTATGGCAGCACTTGTAAAACAGCATGGTCACAGCTTAAATGACGAATCATTGCCAACTCTGTTATGTGAAGCTGAAGCTGTTGTCAACAATCGTCTTCTGACTACCAAGACCTTAAGTGACCCGCTCTCACCGATGCCACTATCGTCAAGTACCCTTCTTACTGGTAAAACTAAGCTCATTATCCCCCACTACAGGAAAGTTTCAACAAGAGGATACATACTGCAAACGTCGCTAGAGGCGCGTACAGCATATTTTTAACGAATTCTGGAACACGTGGAGTAAAGAATATCTTCAGATCTTACAGTTGAGACAAAGGTGGACACACAAGAGAAGAAACTTCACGGAAGGCGACATTGTTTTATTAAAAGATAACAATTCTTGCAGGAATAAGTAGCCTATGGCTAAAGTGCTTACCACACGTCGTGATGATGAAGGCCAAGTCAGATCGCTGACTATTCAAGCCAGAACTGGATCAGTGTTGGATCGACCAGTCAATAAACTTGTGCTGTTGTTAGAGTCGCCTGAGGATAGACCGGGAATCCCCGACGAGGAGCCTGAAAAACCGTAACGTACCAGAAACATGATACCTAGAACGCATGGCAATTCTAATATTTTGAAGGAGTTTGAGTAAGACTTGTTTTTGTTAAAATGATGAACATTTTAGGGGAACCATGATAGTGTTAGGTTTCCTGTGCACAAGGCCCAGCCTCTGCCAAGATTTTGTCATTCGACTCTGGGTCAAACCTCGACGCACACGTGTTTTTACCGCTGGTTATTTCGCCTCTATTTTTCGGATGTGGATCGTTTAACAAGACTCACATCTTTGGAAAAGAACATTACGGAACCATTGCAGATATTGTAGCAATTTTCAAGGTTACGGACAAGGACACTTGCTTATTTGTAAGGAATTCTCATACGGTATTTTATTCGAACGGTATACGATCTGCACCATTTCAAAAAGGATAAATAATTAATTTGGATATTTGGATGATAAACCTTTACTAGTTTGTATCTAAATCATGTGACTGAAGTTGTGTCGAAACGACTTTCTACGTGTATCAGATTGACCTAATCGATGTATCGATTCAACTTCAGTTTGTATCGAATCACGTTATAAGGAAACGACCGTAAACGGTTGCATTTATCCTACGCCCGGCGTGGTGAAACATCGTGTGACCTAAAGTGTTCCCTTAAGGCCTGTCACACAAATTGCATGCATCGCCGAACATGTGTCGTTGTAAGAAAACTGTGCCATTTCACGACGAGAAACTATTCCAGAAACTATTCCAGAAACTATTCCATCCCACACAGAAACGAGGAAAAAAAATTAGTTCTACGATACTTATTTCCTGGTTTCAATCCTAAAAATAAGCGTGATCACATCGTCAAGAGCACGAAGGTCTTCTTTTACGTACAATGCATGGTTGATGTGGTCGCCATTGCGAGATCCAATTATGCACAATGTTGAGTCGCCTTGCTTGAAAACAAGCGACGAAGAATTTCTCAAGAGGATATTTGATTTAAGAGACTGTTGTATGGAAAGTGCCTATTGAGCAGAGCGAACTGATTGGATTAATGTGAGGCGCATCAACAGCGGTGCGATCCTACATTGAAAGTGACGAGTTTATCAGACAAACAATAAAATATTTCATTGCTTAAGTAGTCACCATTCAGTTCACATGCACCCTAACTAAACAACTGTGATTTTTCACTTGTTCAAACAGAGGCATGTATCAAGCACAGACAACCGGCAAACTGTGAAGTGAATATTGATCATCATTATTTCTAGTGATTTGTAAAAGCAAATCAAATTAACGCTGTTATTGCCCATTTCAGAAATAATTCCAAATGAGGTAATGCCCTTGTCCAGTGAATCTTTGGTCGTGAGCCACCAGGTGCACGGAAACAACATTAGCAGACATAAACAGAAAAAAAGAATAAGTAATCTTGCCTGAATACTTGATCTCACATCGTGTAATCACCAGTAGCGAAGGTGGAAATTTCTCAAGCAGGACTCTCTGTTTATCACTGCAGTGCAAGATGTTGATCCTTCTGTTGGGTTTGATGTGGAACAGAAGTCACCTCAACGCCACTGTAAATACAGACTACGGTCTTGAAGCGATTGATCAAAGTTTGCAAGTTGTTACACAGAAATTCAACGACCGGCTGCCTAACTACGAAATCGGTGAATTAGAGCGTAAGCGGAAGTCGAAACTGAAAGCACTTGGTCAGCACAATAGTTATGTTTCGTTTGAAGCCTTGGAAAAATGAAAGGAGGATAAGAAGAAATTTACAATGCGGAATTACGAGATGAGAAATAAAAACATTTCAAAAGTGATAAATAATTAATTTGGTTGTTTGGTTGGTTAACTTTCACAAGTTTGTGTCTTAATCATGTGACTGAAGTTGAGTCAAAACGACTTTCTACGTGTATTGGATCGACTTAATCGATGTATCGAATCAACTTCAGCTTGTTGAATCACATTAAATGGAAACGACCGTAAACGGTCGCATCATCCTACGCCCGGCGTGGTGAAACATCGCGTCACTAACGTATTCCTTTAAAGCCTGTCACGCAAGTTGCATGCATCGCCGAACGTGTGTCGTTTTACGATTACGAAATAGGTCGTTTTACATTCTTTAGTAAATGATTCAGTTCACATGCACCCTAACTAAACTACTGTGGTTTTTCACTAGTTCCAACAGAGGCATACGAGATGAGAAATGAAAACATTTCAAAAGTGATAAATATTTGATTTGGTTGTTTGGTTGGTTAACTTTTACTAGTTTGTATCTAACTCATGTGACTGAACTTGAGTCGAAACGACTTTCTACGTGTATCGGATCGACCTTGTCGATGTATCGAAGCAACTTCAGCTTGTATCGAATCACCTTATATATAAACGACCGTAAACGGTTGCATTTGTTCTACGCCCGGCGTGGTGAAACATCGCGTGACCTAGCGTATACCCTGCATAGCCGAACACGTGTCGTTTCCAAATGCTGAGTTGTATGGAAAACTGTGCCATTTCACGACAAGAAATTGATGAAAAGTACCTTATCTATTCCACAACAAAATGTAGGCCATTGCGTGAAAATACATGAAACTTCACCTTTCCTTGGAGTGCATTTTTGGTACAAAAGTCGGGAATTTCAAATATGAATGTGCTAATTTACGATTACGTAGCAGGTCGTTTTACATTCTCTATTAAATAATTCAGTTCACATGCACCCTAACTAAACTACTGTGATTTTCCACTTGTTCCAACAGAGGCATGTATCAAGCATAAATAGTCGGTAAACTGTGAAATGAATATTGGTCATCATTATTTCTAGCGATTTGTAAAGGCAAATCAAATTAACACAATTATAATTATAATTAATATAATTAATTTGAAAAATAATTCACAATGAGGTATTCCTCTTGTCCAGTAACTCCTTGGTCGTGAACCATCAGGTGCACGGAAACAACATTAGCAGAAATAAATAGAAAAAAGAATAAGTAATATTACCACAATACTTGATACTTCATACTTATTGCCCCTGTCCAGTGAATCTTTGGACGTGAGCCACCAGGTGCACGGAAACAACATTAGAAGACATAAACAGAAAAAAAGAATAAGTCATCTTGCCAGAATACTTGATCTCACATCGTGTAATCACCAGTAGCGAAGGCGGAAATTTCTCAAGCAGAACTCTCTGTTTATCACTTCAGTGCAAGATGTTGGTCCTTCTTTTGGGTTTGATGTGAAACAGCAGTCACCTCAACGCCACTGTAAGTAAAGATTACGTTCTTGAGGCGATTGATCAAAGTTTGCTAGTTGCTACACAACGGCCGGTGAGCAACTATGAATTCGGTAAATTACGGCGTAAGAGGAGACGAAACTGTAAGTACTTGGTCAGCACAACAGTTATGGTTCGTTTGGAGCCTGGGAATAGTGGTGGGAGGATAAGAGGAAATTAAGAAATGGGAAATGAAGTCAAACTACGGCTCCAGTTTGCTGTTGTTGTCGTTTTTTTTAATATGAAATTTTCTCATTCCGCCTCGGTTTTTCTTGGGACGTACTTAATTTTTTTAAAGTATTTCATGGTTCATTGTGCAATTACTATCATTCAATACTGTTGAAAAGAAAACAAAAACCGCTACATGATCAGGTCTAACGGAGGTCCCTAAAAGATAAGCTTTAAAAAAAAAACATCATAGACGTACATTATTTAAAACTTCCTTTTCTTTAATTCTACACCAATCACTTCAATATCATTTAAATAGTATGTTTTATTTTAGCCTTGGTCCCATGTTTCTCTCTGCATTCTTGAGGGACTGGGGAGTGATATCCTTTGACATTTTAACTGTAACTGTCATGACAACTGGAAGTTGGTTAGTGCTTTGGGCAAGACATTAAAAATTGTTGTGCCATTAACCATCGAATACACTGAAGAAAATTTTAAAATTGATATTCTGTAAATAATGGACAATACAGGCTAGTCACACCATAGAACGGTACACAAAAATGAGCTAACACAAGTGTTTGATTCCTTTCTAAAGGAACATTGTTTCTGTATCAATATGTTATTTGTCACAGACTCTCATCACTCAATCAACCAAGCTCATCTCTGCATGAATCTATTTAGCAAGAATTATTCCAAATCAGAGACCAAATTCTAAACTCTCCATTTAATTATTTTAAACAATCTTGGATCATTGAGTTACATCTGTTGAGTAGAGTTTCCATTCCATATGTTATATTCATCATCTCTGTTGTGAAGACGGTGAATTCCACCTTCTTTCTTTACAGATGAAACACCACCTGGGACTCTATGACATACAGTTGAACTGCCATGGAAAAAAAATCAGCAAGAAAGATTGGCATGTATCCTTATGAAGGAAGGAGTTTAGATGTTGTTCATGACTTTGAATTTGATGAAGAGTCTGTTTATTTCATTATTAATATTATTTTGGCCATGTTTTTCTTGTCAAAAAAAAAAGCTTATGACCCCAAATTCACGAAAAGCAATATTCTACTCACTGCTCACTGAAAACAACAATCTAAAACAAGAGACCATCTTTGTTTTATTTGCAAATTGTGATCATTGAATATCAGTCTTGAGACACCAGTGGAAAAATATGTGCACTTTCAAGCATTCACAAGCTGTTTAATTCTCTAAAACTTTCATCTGTCTAACATCAAGCAAAAAAAAAACAATGGACAATAAAATCAAATTCTTAAAACTTACTTTAATATCAGGGAATTCTTTTTGCTTTTTCTATTGTGGCTTTTCAGAAAAAAATTCATTCTTAACACCAACAAGCAAACAACCAAACCAGTTTGATACAATTGAACAACAAACTATGCAGCTGTTTACAAAAGGTAAACGACCAAACAAGACTCACTTTGATGGTTGTGACTGTGTGCTGCTGTTTGTTCTCTGTGAAGGAGGATTCTGTGTCCCTCTAGACTGATCCACACTACCAAATAGGAAAGCCTTCAGGAAGTTAATCGATGTGAGCAGAGGTGAAAAAATCCTTAAAAACAGTTCAGGGAATGATGAAGTCCCAGATGGAGTGAGGGAATTACTACCTTTCTGTAAAATGACAGTTCAGTAAACTGCTTATTTATGTCTTTAAGTTTTGGGAAATTTCTTCAAATGATAGGGGGGAATGTGGAAATTCACTCAAAGAATTTAAGGAAACATTTCTCATGAATACAATTAGAATACAATTATAATTAACCAATTAAAATAACAAGAAAAAACAAAAAAGATAGAACATTCATTGAGAATGAAGGAGAAGAAAAAAGCTAAAGTTGGTTGCATGTGGCACCCAAGTTTTCCTAAAACACAACCCTGCTTTGATTTCCTAAAGTTTCAACTTCAATTATCTAACACTAAGTTACAAAGTGTAACCTTTAACTCCCAAGATCTAATTATTAATTCTCCTTTCTAGCTTCCACACATTTCCTTTTAAATGATTGATGAGAATTTGGTGTTTGATCAACATGGCAACTTCTACCCGATAACTTTGAGTAATTTCTCATTACCTGTTTGCTGGACAATGTATGGATATTTTTTAGGGAGAAGTTACAAGCCAATCACCTCTGGGAGCTAAAGGGTTAAACAGAACTCATTAGTAGGCCAAGCTATGTGCCAGGTTCACATGAGACGAATATTCACTCTTTTCAATGGATGAATGTTTTAAAAAACAACCTAATATTGATCTTAAACTTACCACAGCTACAATTAAAGTGGAACTAAGTGCCAGACCTAACTCAGCCAAAGTCTTTACCAGGTCTTCTTCAGTCAGCTCCTGCCCAATGTAGGTGGTGTACATTGTTATTGAGCTGGTACTGGGTTCTAGTTGCTGAGAACAATTGAAAAGATCCATATTATTAAAACTTATTTTCAGTAAATTTTCAACAAATTTACTCACAAAAGAGCTGACTCAAGTTTTGGAGGGGTTTATGGCTGTAAAGACAATTGACAAAAACCAAAAGATCTTGAAGAGAATCTTTGTTTGGAAACACACAGGCAAGGTTGCAGAAAATTAAGAATCTAATGCAGACCTAAGAAATGGTCTATCTTTGCCATTTCCCACAAAGTCTCTTCTTCTTATCTAAAGACAATTCCCTGAAAGCTCCCAAGATTTTTCTCATTGTTATACATGTACTTGTAAAAATCAACTACTCACAGTGATGATATACTGTTGGATGGTCTCCAAAGGATTATCAGGTGGGAAAGAGTTTGTTAACAAACTGCCATCTGGAAGACGAAACTGGAGCCGGGCAGAAATTCTGAGTAAAAACAAAAAGTCTCTGTTACATGTACAGATCAGTTAATAACAATACAATACAACAATGTATAACTAAAGTAATGGCTGATGTTATAAATCACATGTACTTTAATTACTTTTACAATGTAAGTGAAGGATATTCAAGAACTCAAAGCCTGTAAAAATGACATGTTTCATTGCATTTCTACCTTACTTACCACTCAGTCTTTCTCAACCCCTCACTGCCTCCAGTCATGGTAGTTGAAGGTGAGGGTGAGGCAGCTTGAGCACGCTGTCTCTCCTGCACCTCATTCTGTCATCTAGCTTCCCTTTCTGCTTTATCTCTAGCAATCTGCTGCTGCACGGCTTTCCTGTGGGCACACTCTTCCCTGTGGGCTCTGTCTTCTTTGATTTGATTCACAAAAAATTATTTTGTGCCTGTCTCTCCTCTTGGTCCCTTTTGGCTTTACCAAGTTCTTGTCCCTGATGACGTCCATCAAATTCTTCCTTCTTGATTTCCTAAAATGCAAAGAATTCTCTCTATCATCTCTTCACTGGTGAAGATAATAAATTGGTATTCTGCTGAATCAAAGTGGCAATGCAGAGTGAGTGGTTTATTTATCTTTCATGAACTCACCAAAAACTGAGCTCAAAGTTAATAAACATGATTGCCTATTGGCTATAAGTAGGATACTGGACTGCAGATCAAAATGATCCAAAGGTTATCATTTTGTAGTAGTGTTCTTAAGAGCAAGACAATATAATCTCACAATATCTCTCTCCACCAAGGTTTATAAACATTTAAATGGGGTACTGTCAAACTGTTTGGGAAACATGAGAGAGTGTGAGGGGATACATGTATCTTAAAAGGGACTGGCATTGCATTTTGAGGGAATTTCCTTACTCCTAGTGACTTCATGCTCCAGAAACTCAGATAAGCTTGATTTTGGCCTATTAATGAACAGGCTTTGTTTCAAGAGAAAGAAACCACTTCAAAAAGTCATTAAGCTCTGGACAAAATAAAAACAAAGCCTTAAGGGAACTTGAATAAAATTGATAATGATATAACCATAAAACTTACAATAATAGTAATACTAATGATTATTTTAATAAGAACAATTATACAACTTATAATAATGACAATATCAATTATAATTATAATAATAATGACAGTAATAATGATAAGTTTCTGCCTTACAGAAATAAAAATATTTGGAGATTGATTGATGGCATCATTCTCATTAAGAGCTGATAACCGTTCATTCTTACAAGGTGTTCAGACATGTACATATTAGCCACTGTATTGTGTACTTCACAGAAATATTCATTAAAATAATTTTACTGGATAATTCATCCATAATTTACAAAGTGCAGAGCAACACCATGAGTTTTAACAACCAGAAAAACAATATTATAACTATATTTAGATTAGAAACTTGGACTCACTTTATTTTCACATTCCTCTTTCTCAAGTCTCCTCTGTTCAATTAGTTGCTTTGCTCTGCTCAACAACAGGAAGAGAGAGTTAAAACTCAAAGTAGCAGTAACTTATGGATAATTGTTTACACTTCCTTGGTAAAAGATTATTTCTACAGCTCTAATTATAGAAATATGTTTACAAAAGGTACACTAAAGTGTTCCTCAACCCATTTTAGGTTCAGATGGTGCCTGTTAGAAGTGCATCTATTGGTTACAGATAAATATTACATTACATTATTATTTGTAATTACAAATAAATGTATTTTATATTCCAAAGGAAAAATTGTATTTTTTACTCAGTAATTACCTCTTGTGATCCAATTTTATTGTCACACATTTCTCTCTTGAAAATATCCCTACAATCTGAATTTAACAATCATTAGCTTTTCCTATCAATGATTTAACTGTAGCTTTTTCTTTTTAGTTTATTCTGAATATTACATTACATAAGTGCAGGGTTTGACATTTTCTTTTTTTGAAATTATGGAGCAAAAGGAATTCTTATCCAAAATCCAACTCCCTCTTTTTGCAACAAATGCAAAAGTGTGGTTCTTTTCGGCAACCATAATTCTCAGAGCTGAAGTTTGAAAGAAGCAAATAAAACCAACAACAAAACAAACTAGCAAGTGCATCTCAGTTCTACCAATCTTAAGGAGGATCTGAGAGGATTGAAATTACATGTACAGTTACATGTACCTTAGGATCTTCCCATGTTGCATTCATTCTGCTTGTTTCTTCACTGTCTCCTGTGGAAGATTCAAAAGCTTTTAAATTCTTTACAGTGGCCAATTTACTTTATCAACTCAAATGATAATACTAAATTACCCTGTTATACTCTCCTGCTGACCCAACACCACAGTTTCTTCAGAAACTTACCCCTTTGTTCAACTAACCTCCACAGTTGCTTTCAATAACTTATTTCATGCAGAAGTATGCCACTTATAGACCAGTTTTGCTACCCTAATCTCACTCAGTGAGAGTGATTACTTATTTATCATATTTATCAAGAAATAGTTTTTGGAAGGAAGAAGTCTTAAAGACATGTCAGCAAAATGCAACCATTTATCATCACCTAGCTGGATGGAATGAAAAAAAATGCTACCATGCGAAAACACAAATAACCTGTCAAATAAAGAACTGTCCTTGAATGACCAAGAATGGCAACCTATGATTTTTCTTTAGGCACTTTTATTGGAATGTACCTCTAATCATCTTGAAGTGAGTGAGTGAAGTCTCTCAGTACTAAATTAACCCTTTCACTGCCAAGATTTCATTAGTAATTCTTCTTACTGTATTTCATACAACTCTTTAGATTTCATTTGGAGAATTTGGTATTCAATCAACTAATAATCTCCTTATTTATATTTTTCTCTAATCTCATCACTATCCTGATTGATATTGTATTGATATTGTAAGGAGAAATTCTGTCTTGGTCATTCATGGGAGATAAAGGGTTAATACAATTATTATTCTCATAATACACCACTAACAAAGTCACGAGCTGGACAGAAGAAGTGGCCAAGCTAGCGGAGCTTGCACTGTCACAGCCTCAAGAATGCTATGTTGCTTTTACCTTTGGCCTGAGACACCGCTGGACCTATTTCCTTCCAACACTCCCTGATATTGGGGATCTTCTACGGAGGAACCTCTGGAGAATGCAATATCAAATGTCCTTATTCCAGCTATAACGGAATAAAAAATACAGTCAAACACTCAATAAAAATACCTCACCTTACTTCCACAGTGTATCGCTTTTTATCTAACAGCTTACTATTTTGAAAAGAAGCCATTTTAGCGAGTTATCCATTTCTAGGTTTACTTCATAAGAGAAGCTCAAGGCTGCACACTCCATTCTCGAACGTCCGATCCTATAAATTATAATGAAGCAAAAAATCCAACGCAGAATCCAAGACATATGCTTTAGTTTCATTTCAATTCACTAGAAATTCAATCTTCCCCGTGAAACCGACGCTAAGCCGCACTTTCCTTCAAAAATTTCCAGTTTAGATGTTTCAGATAGCAGCACGATTCACGACCGTTGAAAACCAGCTTGTTAACCCTGCCTCCTTTGCAAACTTTGCCTCGCCGGGGACCACACCGTCACTTAGCACCCGTGGTTTAATGCCAAGTGACGGTGTGGTCCCGATACAATGGCTGACTAGATACAGATACAATGGCTGACTAGCTGAGCTAATTTCAACTAAGAAAGGAGAGAGTTGTTCGGAGTTAATATTCATGTTTGTAAATAAAGCACAATTTGTTTTCGTTCTACAGTTGAACCCTGGTAACTCGAATTGCCAACGGAAATTGAAATTACTTCGAGTTATCGGGCTTTCGAGTTATAAGGGTTTTGAACAAAAGACCAGAAACACTTGATTTAAGAGGTTCAATGCTTATACACGTATTATTGTGACACTGAATTTTGAGGGGAAGAAGAAACATGTCATTGATCTCAAGAGTGAACTGGGCAAAACTGACAAGTGATGACAAATAACAGATTGATTCCAGATTACGCGCCATTATTTCTCTTCGCCGGGAAGAACTGTCAAAACTGTTTGTTTACGGACATACAAAAGTTGTGATATCGGTAAAGGTAAATTTGTCATAATATATAATTGATATTAAATTTAATCTTCCGGCGCAAAAATGTTATGGCTCATTGGTTCGCAAAACTGAAAATCGACGTCGAGTTATCGAGGGTAAAATTACAAAGAAAACAGGGAGAGATTTAACCTCAGCACACTTTTGTGATTTAACACTTTAACCCCAAGGAGTGACTGGCATCTGATTTGTCCTTACAGTACAACCGCTGAATCAAACATTGAGGTCACGAGAATAAATGAAATGATCACCAACCAAAGAAGCTGTTGATTGTAAAACAAATTCTCCTTGACAGCACCTAAAGAAATGTATAGAGAACAGTGAGGAGAATATGCATACTGATGATAAGGTGTAAAGGGTTATTAAGTCTTTACGCCCTCACTTGTTTCAGATTATACATTGACCCATACTACTCTGTTCTTTTACGCCAGAATTATGGCAAGTACAGACGTCTAAATGCTTTTTTCAGAATCGTTTCAAACAGTAAAGATCACAACGGGGTTGAATTTATTTCAACCATAGAAGGTGAGAACCAAAAGTATAAGGAACCCTAAAAAAACAAACCCAAATATCATAAGCTTCGTCTGGCTTTCTCGCTACATTAGTTAATTCTTTTCTGGTTACAATTTTTCTAAAAAATTATCAGTTGTAAATTTCTTATTTGTGATGTTTTTGTGCAAATAGAACAAATAAATATGAAGAATTCCTTTATCATATGCTTTTGGTAAATCTTCGCGAAAGAGAGGTTGACTTCCCTTTTAAAGAGCTTGCTCAGGAGTGATGGCAAGAGTCCAATTGCATTATTTACAGGCACCCGGCTAAATCCCAGTTTAAATGGCGCAGAAATCTGGACATTAATCACTCGCTGGCCGATGTTCTGTCAGGCCAGTATTTTGCAAATTTCCTAATTCAAAAAGGTGAGCTTGGAAAAAGATTTTAGTTCCTCTCCCATAACAAGAAATAGCTGTAACTGATGACAGATAATTTTTGTACTGATATTTCAGTGCCACCATTGTTATAATGATCCGCTGACCGAAAAAAATCTCAGTATTTAAATTACACAAAAACAGTGGATCAAAATGCAGAGACGGAACTAGAAAAAAATACAGAAACTCGGCAACGATCTCTTCTATTCAAAGCACGTGATTCAAGGCGATAAAACGCTTCCCTGCATACGGGGGATCAGAGTCGAAATAACATGTCACACAACATGTCACACAACATGTCACAACAAACGATGAACAACTCGCCCCATGTAAGGTAATCCAGGACAGTATTAGATTCTGGATTCCACGCTGTGGATTCCGGATTCCAGGTGCTGGATTCCGGATTCTACCGTTGCAGATTCCGGATTCCAAAACACAAAAGATTCCAGATTTCAGTTTCTGGTTTGCCCCTAATTTTCGCATTGCGTTTTCTAGCAATGACTTCAATGGCGGATTTCGCTATTTAAGGACATGTTTGTGAGTGCATGTTTGTCTATTCATATTTCCTAACAACATTTGATAATTATGAGAAATGTATAACAGCAAATTAAGGGATAAATTTTTGTTGCAGGAATACCCGTTGAGACTGTCCGTCTCTTAAGTCCAATGTCCATTCATTCCACATCTTTTTAGCAACTCTGAAGAGGCGAGGCCGCATTTCTTTCATACAGGTTCCTCGAGGTTCTTCAAGTGATTTAATAGTAACAAAGAACTAATAGTTCAAATCTTTGCGTATCATTTTTAATTTGTAAATAACTGTTAGACTAAAAAAGTTTTTCTAGTGCAGCATAACATTGTTCCGACTGGGAAAAGATGGCCAATTTTTTAAATATAAAATTGACTTAGAACTGCAAGAAAACAGCTCGAAAATAATTCCCTATCATCTCAAATTACTTTTTAAACTTTCCTTTTAAACAAAAACCGTGGTATTGAGGCAAAAATTTAAACTGGAATATAATTTTAATGACACCCCGAGTAAATCGCGGATAGAAAAGCTTGTTTTCCTAGGTGTAATTTGCGATGATGTTCGACGAGATTGCGCATAAAACGGTCTTAAACCAATTTAACTATACTTAAACACTTGAAAAATCGCGAAAGATCTTCATTTACACGGTAATTTTTGAAGAATAACAGATTCTCTTTTCTATACTTCCTTTTTTTTTTTTAAAGGTTAGCCAAGTCATGTCGCATTACGTCGGCTATGAATCCTTCAGAGCAAAGATTTTATAAGGTTTCAGATGGCCCGCCGCTATTTTTTTTTTTTTAGAAAATGTTGTTTGACCTGGTAATATCTTATCTTTGTCGCACCGAGATATGATGCCTCATGAAATCTTATATTTGTAATTCCAAATGCCAAATATCAAAGGAAGCGGTTTACGTGTAAATGCCGAACAGTCGACCTATAAATAGACCTTTCCTGGCTCCTATAAATATTCATATATAACTTTGTTCAAAGTTTATCATAATTGGAAAAGTGTGGTCCGTCGCCCTGATAAGCTCACCCCTGATAATCTTGGAAGCGACACTTCCCTTTCACTCTCCCTAGCTACTCTCTGATCCTCTGGAGTTTGATCCGCATCATCTCCAACATCTTCGTCATCAGGGTCACCATTAGCAAGCCTGCAGAGCCTATTGTCCTCCTCAGACGTTAGAGTGATGCTTGAACCCTCGGCAGTGAATCCCAAAACTCGGGTTAGAATGAAGTTGGGTGAGTTCCGATCGCAGACATCGCCGTTCAGCCACTGGAATCGTACTTTCTTTCGTAAAAAAATTGCCTCCGTCTACTTCTAATTGAACGTCTTGTAAGAGAATAGCCAGCCAGAAAGGCAAAATCTCACAGCAACGATATCCTTATTGTGGTAAACAGTTTGCACCCGAACAGTTCAACCCTGCAGTACGACATTAGCATATTTTATTTGGCAGGCTGTTGTTACGTCGTGGCAGTCTTCCGATGAGGCTGTGATGACAGAGGGACGCATGCTGAAGGCATATGGAAGTGTGCAAGTCAACTCTTTCGTCTTTGAGCGAACGTTTTCCTGTCGCACACCTTTTCCATTTTCTCCGATGTAGTGTATTGCGTTACCTAAGCGTTACTATAGTCACGCTATATCCTGTAAGACACGATCGGTACATGATTGTAAAAGTATATTCCTATGTAAAAGTATATTCCTATGTAAAAGTAATATTACTGATTCCTAGTATTGTATTGTGAATATAGCTTGTTGATTCTTTAATAAAATTCAGTTGAGCAATAGCAATAAAAGGAGTAACTTGACTGAGTCTAGAGGACACAACATCCGACAAACTCTCGCCTTACGGCTTCTCGCCTTTTGCTCTCCTCTTCACTTCCTGTTCCCTTGAGAAAGAATACATGCTAGAATGAATTTTGACAGAAAACCGTTGTCATGAGTAGCAAAAAATAAGTTCTATATTATGGCATTTTACTAGTGTTCCGCTTATAGCAATTAATTCGAATTAATCTACCTGGTTGTCGTCGTTGTTTTTGGTGATCTTGATCGTCGCCTTCGAGAGAGCGATCGCTCTGATTTTTCGAGGAGGCTGCAAAAACAAAGAAAGTGATAGTGTTAAGGCTACATCACGTGTTGTTAATTGAGTTTTCAAAAAACTTTTTTCGGTTCGTTAAAATATAACAGTTAACATACCTCGATGTACGTTCGTTGCGAGACCTTGATGTCGAAGGTTCATACCGTTCACGAAAAGGCCTGCAAGAAAAAAACTACATTGAAACAGTTATTATTGACCATAGTTCGTCATTAAAACCCCTGTCGTTCCCAGTGTTTGCTCGTTGCAACCCCGAAAAAAAAATTCAAAAGTGTTTCATAAAACACAAAAAACCTCAAACCTCGATGGTCTTGAACTCGTGTATTTTTCTTTTTAGTCTTTCTTTCTTCGGTTTCTTGGGCTCCTGAAGATGCATTTTCAGTAATTTTTGGTAAGTTTCGCTGGAGGTTAAGTTAGTTCAAAATGGAACAAAGAATCAATTGAATCATTACAACGTTACACTTACCTTTCCCTCTCCGCCTTTTGCTTTTTCTTGTGCTTCCCCATAGATTATGATTGAAGTATCGAGATTTAGGGAAAGCGCAAATCGAATAAACAAATGATATATCAATTGAAAAAGACACGGCAAATTTTCTGAAATACTGCGGCTTGTGTCCCTCCACGTGCTCTGAGTGACTGGTGCAGTTTTGACAGTTCCTGGCTTTCGTCTGGCTTCTAATTAAAACTATGCTTCCACGGCCATCTGCAGGAGAATATTACTTTTTGATGCTCTCATTATGATTTAAGGAAAATGGATATTTATTTTTGATTTTGGTCAATCGCGAATCAGAAGTGCCAGAAAGTTCGAAAGAGTCGAAAATGAAAAGAGTATTAAGTATTAAATATTGAGGTCGATACCTCGACCCTGGATGCCAGATAAAAGTAGCGCAGTTTCCGGTGCCAAAGCTTGCCGTGCGCCCATTTGCTTAAAAAACCGGCGGGGAAAGCAGGCAAAAGCAAAGCATCCAAGTTGTCAATAGTCAGATTATTTTCACAGAAATTTACTAATTCCTAGATTTATGGGAAAACTAAAGCGTATCTTTTACAAAATCACCTTCCAACTGTTGTTATGACAACCAGTAAGTTAATATTCACAGGACGTCATAGCGGCCATATCATTATTTAGAGGTGTTCCAAAACAATCAAATAGCGGCTATATTCATGTTCCAAGCAAATCCTGTGGGATTTGAACGCTTCAGTGATATATACACTTTTTAAATTTAAGCACCGATTGACCACGTGAGTGAACTGCACTGTACAGTGGTTGCATGGATGTGGGTGAAAGCCGTTAATACGATTTGAAATGGATTTTCAGCAAGTGGATTCTGGATTCCCCTTTTTAGTGGGATCCTGGATTCCAAAAGCTGGATTCTGGATTCCAGAGCCCAGTATTCCGGATTCCACAAGCAAAAATTTCCTGGATTCCGGAATCCGGATTACCTTACATGGGGCGAAACAACACTTGAACTTTTTGCTATATTTTGCTTGTTTTGCCTATAATTGAATTGAGTTGGAATCATTGTTTGTTTCCTATAGTGTGATCGGTTGATTTTGTTGAAGTGATCCTGGTAACAGCAGTGAACTTATGAGAGTGTTGCGATCTAGACATGTTCTATTCTGAGCTTGTAGTATCATGGAAGAAGATACTTTATCCATTAATCCTTTAACTCCCTTTGGTGACCGGGACAGAATTTCTCCTTACACTACCAATACAATATCAAGCAGACAAGTGATGAGAATAAAGAAAATATCAATTAGAGGATGATTAGTTGATCCAATACCAAATTCCCTAAACTAGCATCATAAGAATCGTATGGCAAACAGCAAGACAAATTACTAATAATGAAATCTAGGGAGGGAAAAGGTTAATTATAACAACAATAGTTGTAATGAGAGTAATTCCTCTCTGTTGTTGGCAGCTCACTTCAGCACTCATCGATTCTCCAGAGCAGAGGAAGAAAGGGCTTCTTTAATTTATAACTACAAACCAACTGCTGTACAAGACTACTTGCCTTTTATACAAGCTTACTTTTTTTAAGGTCACTCAACGACGACCTGTAGAAATCCTGTATAGAAAAGATCACTTAAACGAACAACAGGCGAGTAAACCGAACGGCAGTAAAGGTTTTCACGATCGCCAATGGAAATTACTGCCAACAAAACCTTTTTCTATCTCTGTATTTTCCACACTAGTGAAACAATACTAACAACATACAGGGAATGTGAATTTATGAAAGGTCTAGTTTTTGTAATTATTCATCTTTCTATGCCCTAATTATGGCTGAAATGACTATTGTAAAAGTAAGTTTATTATCCATTTAAATCAAACTATAAAAACAACAAATCTGCGTGCGTGCGTTTCGTCGTCGTTTCTATCAGAGAGGGAGGAGGCGGGGGGAGGTGTGGGAGGGGCTAGAGCATCAGGTTTGTCGTTAAAATTCATCTCAGTTGAATTTAAGTCAGATTAAGCTGAAACATTCAATGATATCAGTTAGGGATATATTTTGGTGCATCACCTTAGTCCACCTAACTCTCCAATGGTTATTTCTGAATCCTCACTGAGATATCCTCCAATGGGAATAAGCGATTTAGGAAACTTTAAGGGGAATTGACTCTGGGACACATGATTATTTTGGGAAAATCCGCGGGAAAACCTCCACGACTTTCTAGGTTGACGATAAGTTCTTTAACCACTGTGACAGTAGGTTTTCTAGCTGCAATATATTTTTAGGTTTCCTGACAGGATCGCTGTCAAATCGGGCGAAATAGCTCGGCGGGAACGGAAACTTGATATCATTTCCTGGCACACGGAGATCAACCTCAATGGCGTTCTTGCGGAGCTCAAGGAGACAAGGATTTTTAAAATAGTCAGCACTCGGTTCCAACAGTAATTTATTTGGAATTTCTCCTAATAAGTAATGGTAATAAGACAATTCGGTCTGTAATCATACGAGTGATAACACTGAGGATTCCCTGTGAATGCGGCAAGGTGTACATGGGAGAGACTGGAAGACCCATGCAAGACAGAATTAAGGAGCATGATCGAGACATCCGACTCGCCCGTACCGAAACCTCCGCCGTTTCACAGCATGCCCACAACACCGGACACAAGCCACTCTGGAACGAAGTTAAGTTTATTGATCGTGACCCTTATTACTACACGCGCAGGGTCAAAAAGGCAAAGACTTCACCCTGACAACATCAACAGGGATAGTGGTATAGAAATTCTAGAAGCGTGGATGCCCACGATCAAAAAACACAACAACAGGAGAGCCGTGCGACAGCGGACCACCGAGGGAGCAAATCACTGAGTGAAACAGCAAGGATCGAAATGCACCAATCAGAGCTGTTGAAAAACAACCAGTCACAGCAGAGCATCATGCTTTATAACATCACGCATGACCAGTCGACCTCATCGCCTGAAGAAGAATAGCAGTATGCAGTCGAAACGTCGCGATCTACATCACACGTGACTACATCGTGAGACAAACGGAAAACTTAGCTTTTATTGCTATTCACCACGATGACTAACCACGGTCTTTTTTACGAAATTATTTCGAGAATATAACGTCCAAGTAAACTAACAGGAAGACAACTTATTCGATTATAAGAACTCGTGAAATTTTCGCAAGGATATCTTTTCAACTGCACGCCTGTAATTATGAGTGGAAAAACGGCTCGATAAAATTGAAAACGTAGGATCTTTGGCTACTAAATGAACTAAGGCTACGATAGCATCGTCAAAGGAACAGTTTCCAAACATAATAAGTGCAGTTTGTGCTCGTTAATTGAAAAGCTGAACTACTGTTGGCTTTAACACTTTTCTTCACAGCAAAGCTGTCTAAGATTTAAAAAAAAATTGCCAGATAAGAATTGCCTGTTGTTTGACAAAAGATAAAAAATATCCTGATTTAAACTTATAAAAAGAAGAGGACAGCCAATCGAAACAAGTCAAAACACGAACAAGTCTATTCCACCTATTCGGAAAGGTTTTGATGTCAAGAAACATGCTGAACACGGGCCGTTATGAACAATACTTATTCGAAATTTAATCTCGTGAGTTGTAATCAAATCTTCCGGTTACGTTACGAAATAATTCCTTTCATTGTCTCGTCTGGGAATCTCAGCAATTCAAGAAAATGACTTGTAACTAATTCGTACGATTTCTGTCCTCCTATTTCTCACTCCTTTTTTGTCTTTCGCTTTTTAGAGGATTTAACACTTCTTTCAAACAAGCTTTGACTCAAGGCATCGATCCCATCGTTTAAAACTGGAGCAAGACTATCCCCGCTTGCACGTTTCCGGGAACGGTAGTTAGTGGCAGGAACATGACACTCCTCGGCTTCCTGTAAAATATCCTGAGCCGAATAAACAGACCTCACGAGACTTTTGGTAGCTGGTACAGACGCATCATAAACACGCACAGGTCGAGGCTTTTTCTGGTAATTACTACGAGCAAGTTCGTGATACTCCTTGGCCTTCTCAAAGTCGCCCAGTTGTTCGTGAACAGAACCCAACTTATTGTATTTAGTTGCCACTTGAACATTCTCTAGTCCTAGCTTCTTCTGGTCAATACTCAAGGCAAGTTCGTGATACTCCAGTTTGGAGTGCACCAGACCCAAGTTATTTTAACTAGTTGCCACTTGTACATTCTCAGGTCCTAGCTTTTTCTGTCTAATACTCAGAGCAAGTTCGTGATACTCCTTGGCCTTCTCAAAGTCGCCCAGTTGTTCGTGCATCAGACCCAAGTTATTGTAACTAGTTGCCACTTGTACATTCTCAGGTCCTAGCTTTTTCTGGGAAATACTCAGAGCAAGTTCGTGATACTCCTTGGCCTTCTCAAAGTCGCCCAGTTTGAAGTGCACCAGACCCAAGTTATTGTAACTAGTTGCCACTTGTACATTCTCAGGTCCTAGCTTTTTCTGGTAAATACTCAGAGCAAGTTCGTGATACTCCATGGCCTTCTCAAAGTCGCCCAGTTTGGAGTGCACCAGACCCAAGTTATTGTAATTAGTTGCCACTTGTACATTCTCAGGTCCTAGCTTTTTCTGTCTAATACTCAGAGCAAGTTCGTGATATTCCTTGGCCTTCTCAAAGTCGCCCAGTTGTTCGTAAACAGAACCCAAGTTATTGTAACTAGTTGCCACTTGTACATTCTCAGCTCCTAGCTTTTTCTGTCTAATACTTAGAGCAAGCTCGTGATACTCCTTGGCGTTCTCAAAGTCGCCTAGTTCTTCGTGAACAGAACCCAAGTTATTGTAACTAGTTGCCACTTGTACATTCTCACCTCCTAGCTTTTTCTGGTCAATACTCAGAGCAAGTTCGTGATACTCCTTGGCCTTCTCAAAGTCGCCCAGTTTGGAGTGCACCAGACCCAAGTTATTGTAACTAGTTGCCACTTGTACATTCTCAGGTCCTAGCTTTCTCTGTCTAATACTCAGGGTAAGTTGGTGATACTCCTTGGCCTTCTCAAAGTCGCCCAGTTTGAAGTGCACCAGACCCAAGTTATTGTAACTAGTTGCCACTTGTACATTCTCAGGTCCTAGCTTTTTCTGGGAAATACTCAGAGCAAGTTCGTGATACTCCTTGGCCTTCTCAAAGTCGCCCAGTTTGGAGTGCACCAGACCCAAGTTATTGTAACTAGTTGCCACTTGTACATTCTCAGGTCCTAGCTTTTTCTTTTTAATACTCAGAGCAAGTTCATGATACTCCTTGGCGTTCTCAAAGTCGCCTAGTTCTTCGTGAACAGAACCCAAGTTATTGTAACTAGTTGCCACTTGTACATTCTCAGGTCCTAGCTTTTTCTGGTAAATACTCAGAGCAAGTTCGTGATACTCCTTGGCCTTCTCAAAGTCGCCTAGTTCTTCGTGAACAAAACCCAAGTTATTGTAACAAGTTGCCACTTGTACATTCTCAGGTCCTAGCTTTTTCTGGTAAATACTCAGAGCAAGTTCGTGATACTCCTTGGCCTTCTCAAAGTCGCCCAGTTGTTCGTGCACCAGACCCAAGTTATTGTAACTAGTTGCCACTTGTACATTCTCACCTCCTAGCTTTTTCTGGGAAATACTCAGAGCAAGTTCGTGATACTCCTTGGCCTTCTCAAAGTCGCCCAGTTTGAAGTGCACCACACCCAAGTTATTGTAACTAGTTGCCACTTGTACATTCTCAGGTCCTAGCTTTTTCTGGTAAATACTCAGAGCAAGTTCGTGATACTCCTTGGCCTTCTCAAAGTCGCCCAGTTTGGAGTGCACCAGACCCAAGTTATTGTAACTAGTTGCCACTTGTACATTCTCAGCTCCTAGCTTTTTCTGTTTAATACTTAGAGCAAGCTCGTGATACTCCTTGGCCTTCTCAAAGTCGCCCAGTTGTTCGTGCACCAGACCCAAGTTATTGTAACTAGTTGCCACTTGTACATTCTGAGGTCCTAGCTTTCTCTGTTTAATACTCAGAGCAAGTTCGTGATACTCCTTGGCCTTCTCAAAGTCGCCCAGTTTGGAGTGCACCAGACCCAAGTTATCGTAACTAGTTGCCACTAGTACATTCTCAGGTCCTAGCTTCTTCTGGGAAATACTCAGAGCAAGTTCGTGATACTCCTTGGCCTTCTCAAAGTCGCCCAGTTTGGAGTGCACCAGACCCAAGTTATTGTAACTAGTTGCCACTTGTACATTCTCAGGTCCTAGCTTTTTCTGGGAAATACTCAGAGCAAGTTCGTGATACTCCTTGGCCTTCTCAAAGTCGCCCAGTTGTTCGTGCACCACACCCAAGTTATTGTAACTAGTTGCCACTTGTACATTCTCACCTCCTAGCTTTTTCTGGGAAATACTCAGAGCAAGTTCGTGATACTCCTTGGCCTTCTCAAAGTCGCCCAGTTGTTCGTGCACCACACCCAAGTTATTGTAACTTGTTGCAACACAAGTGTGCTTTGGTCCAAGCTTTTGGAGGAAAAATTGCAATGAAAATGCATAGAATTTCTTTGCGGCCTGAAAATGACAATGGTTCTCACATATCTTGCCGAGATTTCCCATTCCAGGCTGGAATATTTGAGGAAGGACAGCTTTCGAAAGTATGTTTTCAAAACTAAGAATGAAATTTTCCAAATGTAGGGCAAGGGCGTGGCTTTGCAAAATTGAATCTGACGATTCCTCCGATAGGTTGTCATCTATAAACTGGTTAAACGCAGCAACAGCGCTATTCAAAGTTTTTATGTGACGGCTTTTCAGGTGGCCCTTAATCAAAGACTTTACGACATCGCGCACAACCTGATGTACCCGTATGTGGAAACCAAACTCATCTTCATGTGTTAAAATTAGCGAACATCTTTGGAGTTTCATAATTATCATCTCTTCATCTTTTATTCCTTCATCGACGCTTACGATATAATTCATCACGATATCCGCATTTAAGGGCTGTGACGAAAGGAGGCAGAGAAATCTTAATACATGATCTATGATTTTGTCTGATTGCATCGCTTCTTTAATGGCCAGTATTGTTGCTGTTGTCATCGATTTCTTGTAACATGGGTTGGTCTCTGTAAGTAGAGTCTCTGTCGCATCACGTTGCCCTTTCTGTACTTTCCTCAGGAAGTCATTCCATCCAAACTCTGAGAAACGTTTGCTCTGTCGGAGTTGCTTCACATAGGTGGCTGCGCTTGCTAAAGCAAGAGGTTGGTAGTCGAGTTCTCTAGCTACTAGTTCTTCTATCTCACTATCACTGATACCAGAAATAAGGGCTAATAAAGAACACGCCTCTTGGGACTGCATACCCTCGCTGACTGAGATGTGTCGAATGGAAGTGCTTGTTAACGGTATACATGTACTATCTTGGGTTGTGATCAACAGATACCCCCTTCCCCATTGTCCGTGTCCTTGCTGGGGTAAATGAACATGCATTTCAGATAAGCTTTTCACGTTGTCAGCCAACAGAAGCCAGGACTCGTACTGACCGATCTTTGAGCTGATTAAGGATATCAGGCTGTTAATCTTGTCCTCTGTCTTCAAATCTTTGGAGATATGGACTTGTGTAATCGCATCTTCGGGGCACTTCATTTGTCGAGCGAACGTGATGTAAGAATCTAAAAGTGTGCCCAGCGTCTCGGCATTCAATGTCATAACAAACACTTTAGAGAAGGAATCTTTTTGGGCTTTCTTGTAAAATCTCTCGGCTGCAAGACCTGCCAGTTGGGATTTACCGCTTCCAGGATTTCCGGATATATACAAGATACTTAAAGTGCTCGCATCAGCTCCCTTAAGCTCTTGCAGCTGGTTCGTGATGTCGGCAACCTCAACATCACGACTTGCTATGTCGTGTGAAG